GAGAAACAGCAGAGATCTGTGGGAGGGACTGAAACCTGTAAGCCTGGTCCAGGCTGGGCACTGGGCATCAGAGTGCTGCTGTCACTTCCCACTGGGCTCCACATTCACACTGCCTGAAAACAATATTTGACAAATCCTCTTATGCCTGGGGGCAGGAGGGAGAAAAAGGAAAAGTTTCTCTTTTCCACTACCAGAAGTTTCAGGGATTTTTTAGCTAAATAAAACTAAAAACATTTATGCCTTTCTTTTGTTATTGTTGGCAAAAATCAGACAATTAACTGACCAAAAATAGAAATGCTACATACTTTTAGCTTCCCATGCCCAGGATGAACAAAACACACAAGGCAAACAAAAAAGAATGTACAGTGGCAAGGGCAAATATCCTTTCTATCTTTAAGACCTATTAGAAGCAGAGGTGAGGACATCTATTTGTTTAAAAAATGATTTTTGAAATGATGCTCCTTCTAAGTTACACTGCAATACAAGATAAAGACAGGGTACTGAGTGAAAGAGTCCTGATGGCTCTTTTGTTGTGTGATTTGCCTTGTTTTTTTCTGAAGTACTTTTTAGCAGATTACCATGTATTTACAGTTACTGTAATTGTATCTAATTACTTAATTAGCATGAATACGTGTAATTACTAACTTCAAATATGTAATTATGTCAGGGCAGCCTGTAATAAATGAGGTTGGAAAAAAAACCCTCATTAGGACTCTATGGAAGGACGACTGCTCCACCCATGTGGAGAACACATCCCAGTCCCCAGACTGTGCCAGTCCTGGAACACACAGCCAGCTCTGGTCGTGTCTGGCAACAACCTCTACCAAAATCAAAACACTTGCCCCAAAAGTCTGGCTACACAGCACTGGTAGGAACTGAGCATCCACTGCTGGGAGGCAGACAGGGAATCTGCCCCCCAGATTAATTTTCTCCATCAGGGTTTAGATTTTTTTTTTTTTCCCTCTTGATTTGTGTCATTCTTGAGAAGAACTTTTTGGAGGGACAAAAATTATGAGGGAACAGAGCAACTGCAAAAGTGTTGTGACATTTGAATAAAGCTTGAGAGATCAGATCCAGGAACTAATATCTGACTGATGCATTGTGCTGATAATAAATTATTGCTATTAAAGTAAAACAATTTTCCAAAATGTTTCTTTTGCAACATTACCAGTCTTTCATCACAAAAACCTCCAGCTACTCATAATTACCCATTTTGCAAGTTCAAATCCTGAACATCAGGAGATGGAGTTAAGGTTAAAAGTTGTTGTTACTGCCAAGAAGCATAAGTATGAAAATGATGTCCTATGAACAGCCTTGTGAACTTCTTTCAAGTTGATAGTCCCTTTTTTTCCACAGATCAGGAGCTATTGCTTGTAATGAGCTGACTTTTCCTACCCAGAAGGACAGATGGGCATTTTCTGGACAAAAATAAGAGTAGACTGGATCATGTTTCACATCACCAAACTCTGATGATGGGGTGAAGTTATCTGGTCATACATCCTATCTCCTCATCACATTCTATCTGCAGTGCTTACTCCACAACAAGGCCCATTTTTCTCTCCTCCCCTCCTCTGTTTATTTCCAAATATAGAACAGTGCAAACTCAGCACAACCTGTCACTCCTCCTGCTGACATCTGCCAAGCAGATACGCTACTTGATTTCTCTTCCATTTGCAAAATATCAGAAGGACTTTTTTAGCTTATTCCTCTGAAATCGATTTGTCGTTTGACTCCCCCATTTCCAAGCTCTTTTCTTAAACCTCCAAGTAGAACTCAGGATGGCTGCAACAAGGACAGGATGCAAACTCTAGTGCTGTGCAGCATTCCATGGAGTTAGAGTGTGAGGACAGGAGGAGCATCTTCTCAAGTACTCAATGCTTCATATGAGAAAGCAGGGTGATGGTTTCTTCAATAGCTCTTTGAGAAACCCTCAGCCAGGAAGGAAAGAGGACCCAGCACTAAGTTTGTCCATTCTGCCCCTCTAAATCAGGCAATAGCAGAAAGGGGGTTAGAGAAAACCACAAAAATCCTGGAAAGTCAGAGGTGAGGGCTGGCTCCTGCACACTTAAACCCATTGACATGAAGACAGCACATCCCCAGTGAGGAACAAACACATCCGTCTCCTTGAGGACATGTTCATGAGACAAGCACACAGGACAGCATTGCACAGCAGGGGCCAGAGGGGCTGCAGCTCCATGGGAGCTGCTCTCCATATTTCAGCTGCAATTCCATTATGTGGAGCTAAGTGGCTGGGAATAAACATCCTTCATCCCCGCGTGATAACTGATGTTTGCTAGTATAGAGTGTGACAGAAATCTATATCACATCCATGTACTATTAATACTGCATTAAGCACATAGAGTTTGCTCTCCTCGTGGCGGCGCGTAATGGGTATCGGCTTGTCCTCCACCCAGACAACATCCAAGAGCATAGGGATGCTTGCTGGAAGAAGGAAGGAAGCTTCATGATGGAGAGAGAAATTGCCTGCTGAAGATGTTGCTCTAGCAACACCTCAGCACAAAAGAGAGATGCTGGGTGCCATGCAGCACCTTTGCTCACAGCTGGATGGCAGCTCTGCAGGAGGTGGGTGGCAGGAGGGAGGTGACAGCTCACATCAGTACAGGCTCAGCTGGGTAGAGGCACTCCCCAGCCTAGAGGAGTTCCCTCTACAAGTGACAGCAGGTAAAGAGATGTGTCCAAGTTCTGCACAGGGGAAAGAAAAACCCTCCAGCATGAAAACCAAGGGGAGAATAGGAGCAACAAATATTCTCCAGTTCAGGTTTAAGTTGAACAGAGCACATCACATCAAACAAACTCCTTAAAGCAAAAGGTCCCCAAAGCATGCTTATTTTAAAAGGTGAGTTTTGAAACTTTCCAGCCTCAAGCAAAGCCACTAGTGAAGCCAGAAGTTTTGCTCAAGTGAAGTCCCAGGGACTAAAATACAAGACCCACCAAATCCAACTCTGCCTGATATCCTGAAGCCTGGATTTTGCCCGATGGCTGAAAGCAAATTCAAAAACAATATAAAGGCTTGCAGCCTGGCAGTATCCAGCTGTGGTTTGCCTCCTGTTAGCACCCACAGGACGAGTGGGGTTTGGTTTCAGCCCCACTGCCTTGCAGCTCTGGGCTACCTAGTGCTCAGAGGTGGTGATTTGCAATATATTTCCAAGTGTGGCAGTTGTCACTAGTGCTGCATTTCTCGCCCATGGCACTTTCCACAAAAGAAAAAGCTCCAGATGCCACCCCCAAGCATCTCTCTGAACTCTTCAGATCCTGATCAAATAGCCAGGTGAAACTCTGAGGCCAAATGCTGCTGCAAGCAACTTTCCCTGCAACCCACCCAGCTCTGACAAGCCCTACAGGGCAAATGCTCTGAGCACAATTAATTCCTTTGAGGTTTAAGCTTTTCTACAGCACAGCTGCAACAGCACCCGCCTATGGAAATGGTCGGCGCATGGATTAAAGAGATTTGAGAGAGCACATGAAGAGAAGGAAGAAAACCAAGCAGGGGGAGCCCCCCCCCTGCCCCCTGAAGCCATCAGAGTTTGTAAATCATTTGAGATGAGGTGCTATAAGAAATGTAAAATACATAATTCACGGCACAGCAAAACCACACTACGTTCAGCTTCTCCGCTCCTGCCTAATCACCGCCCTCCTCCTCCCCTCTCTACAAACAGACCAAATTTAGCACACTAAAATGAAAATCAAAGGGAAGCTGGGCAGCATTCCCTGGGTACACCCCACCACCCTGGCTAGTGAAGCACAGTGACATGGTTCAGGCATGGTCCTGGGGACACCTCAGCTCACAGTGCCTGAGGGACACCTCCACAGGAGCAGCAGCTGTGGCTTCCCTTCCCTGATGGGAGGAGTGGTGGCCAAGGGGTCAGGGTGCTCCTGCCACGCTCAGTTTCTGCAGGTTGGGAGATTGGCCTCCTCCCTGTTTCCAGGGCCTGAGATATGCCTCCTGCACTCCTGAGTTAGAAGCAGCCAAGGAAAGAGCTGAGGTGATTCCAATGCAGCATTTCCTGCTTCTGACTGGGCCGCAGAGATAGCACAAGGTGGGGTTTTTCCCTCTTTTTTTTTTTCTTTCCAAAAAAATATTTTTCCAGTTCTACCTGGAACCAAGACACACCAAAAGGATGAGCAATAACAGGAGAGGAACATTATCTGAACCTCCTGTGTTGCTTGGTTTGCATCTCAACGTTGTTAAGAGAGAGAACTCAACTAGGAGAGCTCAACTAAAGGCTGTGAGCCACATGGCAGGGAGGGCTGCATCTTACCATGGTGTGGGTCTCCTAGAAAAGCATCCTTTTACCTGGTGCTTTCCTTTTATGCTCGGAATTTAGGAATGCAAAACAAAGAGGACCACTTGATCGTCATCTTCTAGTCTAATGAGCCCAGTTTACAACCCAGATTTTTACAGGGAAGAGGCAAAAGGTTTACAGAAGCCTTTGAAAACAAGACACCCAGTATCTAAGCCTCCTGTTCTATATCTCCACGCATCTGTCCCATCTGTGGCCACGTGTCCTGAGCTCCTCCCTGGCCCAGTGGGGAGCCAAGAAGGCAGCCCCATGGCTGGGAAACTGCTGGAGGAGGAAGAGGAGGCAGGTCTTTTCCCCAGCCAGGCAGGGGTCACATACATTCCCCGTGCTCCTGGACACCACTTGCTCATGCCTGGCACCTCACATTTGGAGCCAACAAGGCAGAGCCCAACTTCAAATGGCACTTTCAGGCAAGGGGGAAAGGTGACTGGTGGGTGGCGGAGGGAGGGTGAAGGGAGGTGAAGGTGAGGGTGGAAAGTCTTCTCTGGAAACACCTACATGTATGTTGTGATTTCTGAGACCTGAGATTCACTTTGGTTTCTGGACCATACCAAGACCAACTCTCCTCAAAAGCCTCCTTCTCTTCTTCCTCATATTCTTAACCTCTCCTTCCTTCCCCCATCCCCCCAGCCTGTCCCCATGTCCCCACAGGGGACTCCAGGCTGATTGGGCACTCACACGTGTCTGGCTTGTGGCAGTTGTGACCTTGTCGGAAGTACTGGGGGTTCTCGATGACAGGAATGCGGGTCATGCCGATCACCACCGTGTCCGGGCCAGCGTCCAGGGTTGAGGGTGTTGTAATGCCATGGTTGATGTGGTGCAGGGGACTGGCTGAATCCTCCTCTCCGCTGATCACTGCCACAGGACCTGCAAACAATAGGCACATCTGTCAGGCGAAACAGGGGAGACGTGAGCCCTACTGATCATGGGGGTAGGGCTCACTGTGGGTTGGCAGTGGATCACCACCAGCCCCTGGACAGGATGCCTGTCCTAGCACCCCTGGCAGTTGGCCCAGCCCCAAGCAGCTCACAAGGCAAGGAAGACATCTCAAGTCCAGAATCAGCACCCACTTCCCTGATCAATGAATGCAATACACCTTCCTACTGCCCAAGACTCTCAGCACCTACCAGCACCCCAGATAAATGCTGCCCTCCTGGGCCAGTCCACATGCCTCCAAGTCCCACAGCACCCACTTATGCATCCTTGTCTACCTCTACAGAACAGGTCCAAAACATCAACAAATGGACCCACATTGCTCTCCCTCCTGCAGATGTCACCCAGGAACCATGCTCCAGCTCCTTCAGCCACTGCCCACCCAAGTGTTTGTGCCCAAGAGCATCACTGCACCAATTTTGACCTAACCATTGGCTGGCTTGATCCCACAGGCAGAATAAAGCAATGAAGGAAAGAACATCCACACCTGAGAGCCAAGGTCTGCTTCCCACACACAGTTATTTCACAATATTCAGCTGTACCTCAATTTTTGGCTTGAGCTTTAGTTTATTTTTAGACCTTCCAACTTCAGCCTTTGCTATCAGCTGCCAAAGCTGGAAACCTCAGGGGACATCAGGCCTTAATACATTATTCCTCACTTCCATCTTCTCTCACCCATCCTGGTGTCCAACCTGCCAGTTAACATCATGAACACCTGCTTCACAAGGTGAAATGTTTTAATCCATGTTGCAGCCACCATATTGTTCATGTGTAAACACGGGATCCTGAGGAGCTGGGCAATGTGGGGACAGCACTGCAAGCTTCCATGATGACCTCCCCTGTATATTCACGAGAACAAAACCTACACTGAGCTAGAGATGCTCCTTTTTTCCTGTCCAGATGCTACCAGGGGCCATCAGAAGCTCAAGCAAAAAATGAGCACAGATGCAGCACTGAGGCTTCAAATCTATTCAGAGAAGCCTGTCTTCCACCTACATCACATAGAAAATACCTCCCTGCCATCAGTAATCTACTTCTAATTGTACAATTACATTATTACGTAGCACTAACAACAAAAAGGGGAGTCTTCAAGCCATTTTATTCTCTGGACCTTCTGGGAGGACAAGGTGAACACTGGCTCTGTGCAGTCATTCTGCCTGCATTAAACTAGTCTAAAGGCTGCTCATTTTTGCAGCTCCAAGTATCATTTTTTCTTCCAAGCGAGATGTAATAAAGTTATTGTATAATTAACAGCGTCCTAGCAGCCGTGACAGGTGTTAAAAGGAAAGGAAAAAAAGTCTCTCCCTTTATTGTGAATTCCTTCTGGCAAGTTCTGGGGTTTTTTTGTTGGGTTGGTTTTTTTTTTTAGACATTACTCCCTGGGCCCACGTGACGTCCAGTTTTTGTGACGCAAAGGCAAAATTCCAAAGGCAAAATTCAGCTCTTGCCGCAAGATGCCTCTGTTGGGACTACACACATACCTCCCCAAACACAAAAAGCAAACAGGCAAATTCATTTTGAATGGCTTCTGTTCTTCCACATTGTCAAGTCTGTGCATGCAAACTAGGAGGACTGGGTTTTGTGTGGTGCTCACATCCTTCTGGTTGTGCCCTGTGCCACTGGTTGGTTCAGCTGTGGTGGGAAGGGGAGACCTCTGCATTTCAAGATGCAGTTCACAAAACAAGTCATAAAAATACCAGCTGGTGTAGACTGGTGGAAATAATTTGAGGAGAGATCTCCCTTGCAGTGGAGTGGTGGGAGAGGCTGTTGAGGGCCTATTGTTTTTCTTAAGCAGCCATCATCTAAAGCAGCTACATGTAAAAGACTAGGGCATGATCAAGGAGGTTGGGCACTTGTGAAACTAAGCACAGCCAGTATCTCCAGTATTTCCAGGTCTTGAGTAAAAACACAGTAAAGACATTCTCATAAGTCTGAAGGTGTTCACTTACAAGTGAAGAACACACCCAAAGGCTGTCAAGTTTTCTGAACAGTTTCTGATGGCAGCAGGCACTGAGCTGGCAGGGACTACAACATAACCATCCGATTCATCCCAGTATCCTCCACAGGATATCATTGGATTAAATACATGATTTACAGTTGAGGACTTCTCCAAGCTTCTCCAATTACCTTTTGGGGTGGAGAGGGAGTTGTAGAAATCTGGACAACATTAACTCCTACAAGTCATGTCTCTATCACTGTCATCCTTTCATTCTTATCTCTTCTGGCTGGCCACAGCAGAGATCCAGTTGCCTGTCAGAAGCAGCCACTCTGTGACTCAGACAAGTCCTGCACTCACCACACAACCCTGAGAAAAAGTTTAAAGTCATCACTAATATCTAACAGTCACTGATCACTTTTATAGGTTTGACTGTTGCTCTGACATGCTGCCATTAGTAACTCCTGGAAACAAAGCAGCTACACAGACTTCAACTTTTTAAATTTACCTTGACAATAGTATGGGTTTTTTTGCTCTTAAGTAGGTAAAGAGGTTGCATTTCTGATCTAAAAATGCTGATGAGTGGCTTTATTTGGAAGATTTATCTCCAGTTTCAGTAGTGCATTTTCCAGGCAAGGTTAAAGGAAAAAAAATGAGTGAAAAAAAGAAATAAAACAGTACAGATTTTAAGAATTAGTATTACCTTCTATTTGACAGAGAAATGGGCAGAGGGACATAGAAAAAAAGCCAGTTTTGTACTGTGAAAATGCAGAACAATAGCCAAGGCTAGCCTGGGGTAGCTCCTGATGTACTATCCTACGATTTTAAAAGACAACATAAAATATCTTTGAGCACCTCTGAAACCTAAAATCTAACCAGTGATGAAGTAGCTGATTCTCTGAATAACTCAGCCTGTGCTATGAACAAACATACTAGGGATATTAGACATAGAAAGAGTCTATTTGTTAATACTTTAAGAAGCCTTTGTACATTGAGAGCATCAAATGTGTCACATGTATATTCTGAAAGCCTTTTGAGGGCTCTCCTTCCATCCAAGCAGGGCCCTCACCAGCCAGGAGCACCCACATCTCTGCTTTTCAGAAAATCTCCCATCATTTTCTATTCATCACTCTTCCCTGTAGCTGAACTGGAGTTGGTTTTGGTGTTCTCCTTTATCTCCTGGTTTATATGGAAGCTCTGTGAAATAGGATATATCTTTTGGTCCATGTCTGTGAATCACCTGGTTCATTCACAGTATCACATGGACATTTTGTTACTTAAGAAAAATAAAGTAATAAATAGCTTAGGGAGCCCCTGCTTACCTGATCATATAATGGTAAATTATTTATCAAGGCTAAGAGCTATACTTTCTGATAAAACATAGGATCAGAAATATAAGGTACTTTAAAATAACCACAGATTAGAGAAGATAAGATAATGGTCACTTCATACTCATGTATAACATAATGAATGCTCCAAGGCAAATAGGTGAAGAAACAACAAAAACTCCAGCTTGCTATTATAATAACCTCTCTAAAGCAACAAAAATGATTGAAGGTGTAGAAAACATGACCTCCAAGGGAAAACTGGAAGAATTATGCTTTATGTGGAGAAAAGACTGAAAGGACACGTGATAACAGCCTTCAAATACGTAAAAGGTTGCAGCAAAGTGAAATATAATAGCTGTTCTTCATGTCCACTGGGGATAACACAAGAAATAATAGGTTTAAATTGCACTGAGGGAGATTAGGGTTTAAGTGTTTTCCCTAATGCCTGGCAGCACGGATGGTTGAGCACCAGAACAGATGACCCAGGGATGCTGCATGGGCTCAGCCACTGCCAGACTGGGAAGGGAAATGTTCAAGAAACTTCTTTCAAGGACAGTTTAGCTACAGGATCTGACTCAGAAACCTCCCAGGCTGCAGCACTTTTCACCCGTAACCAAACAGCCCAAAGCAAAGAGCGCTCTTTCCTTTTTGATGTTTCCCAACAAACTCCAAGCAGGGACCTCGCCTGTGGTGCAGATCAGGTTTGGGCAACATCTGAGGCACCATGGGTGCAGCACTGGACTGGGATGGGGCTGTGGTCTCTCCAGTGTGGTTTCAGAAAGAATAACCTCATCCAGAGGGTCAGGGCTGTTCAGCCTGGAGAAGACCAGGCTCTGGGGAGACCTCAGAGTGACCTTCCAGTGCCTGAAGGGAGCCTACAAGAAAGCTGAGGAGGGAACTTTTTACAAGGGCTTGCAGTGATAGGACAAGGGGGAATGGTTTTACACTGAAAGAGGGCATATTTATATTAGATATACGGAAGAAATTCTTCATTGTGAGGGTGGTGAGACACTGGACCAGAAAAGTTTTGGATGCCCCATCCTAGAAAGTGCTCAAGGCCAGGTTGAATGAGGCTTGGAGCAACCTGGTCTAGTGGAAGGTCTCCCTGCCCATGGCAGGAGGGTGGGAACTAGATAATCCTTAACGTCTTTTCCAATCCAAACCAGTCTGTGATCCACATCTCAGGTCAGATGCTCAGGACAGAAAACAAGTTTGCTGATGGAGAGAGCAATGGTGCTCAGGGCTGCAGGGTAATCTCCCTCTCACTATCTATGCCTCTGGGAGCTTTACCTCAGAACATAATTTTTTGATCAAAAATGATCACTGCAAGAGCTAACTATGCCATCCACTTTTGTCTGTGTAATATAAGAGCCATATAATTAACCTACTTAATTAGGATTTGTATATGACCCATAACTACAAAAAAAATGCTCTCCTAGTAAAGTGGGTCACCATGCATTTAATACAGCAATCAACATTAAGCTCCAATATATATTATATATAAAAATCCCTTCCTCCTCTAACTTCAAACCTCTGTTAGCACTTCCATATTTCCCTGATCTTAATCTTAAATGCTGTTCTTCTAAGACCCACATCACCTACTGGCAAGTACATAATTCCAAGGCAGGATCTCTCAGCCTAGCTTTACAACTCAGAGCTATACATACACA